CTTGACATTTAACAAGCCAAAGATTATCAGTATATAACAAGAGGCAATTCAATACAGGCTAATATATAAGCAGGCACTGAAAGTCTTAGATCTGGAGAGAGGCCTATAATGGAAGGTGTATTGCATTTGCAGCCACTTGAAACACAGGTGAAAGACGATGTATTTACCTGGCTTTGCATGAGCTGAGCCTCCTTAGCAGTCACATATGTCGGAGTCTCAAAGTCCAGCATGGCCTTGCCCCTCTCCTTCTCATACTTCTCCTTGTATTTGATCTGGAACGGCCCACACACAGGTGTAATGTCAGCTGGCAGCTTTCAAGACGTTATCCAGGTACCTTATGTATTGATTTCCATTCATTTTCACACACAACTAAAAACCTTTAAAAGTCTAAGTATTATACAGTATGAGTTGTGAAATCTGTCACAGCAAGCACAAATTAATACCTGCATTAATATTTATCATTTTATATTATTTTACTAATGTAAAGGCAGAAAAGTCTGCACTGTCTTACCTTAGAATGATAATGTATCCAAATTATCTTTTATACATTATTATAGTAAAATTATTTTTGTTCTTTATTTATTGTGAATGACTGAATTGCATTGCTTATAGAAAGAGATCATATACAAAGTTAAACGTAAATGGTACCATTTCATAATTAGCATCAGTCTCAACTAGATGCCACTTCACCACTCATTAGTATGTTTTGTTGTTCCCAACATAACCCTTAAACCATCTTTAAACACTAATGTAACACCACCCTCCTGTAGGTGCAGGAAATGAAATCCACAGCTGTGTTTTGGGGAGGGTATGCTGCTCGTTGATCCCAAAGTCTGTACCACTTACGGTGCTCTGAAGCTCAGAGGCCTCCTTGAGATGGAGTTGTTCTGGACTGTCAGGAATCAAATGGTAGTGACCCTTACTCTCCTCAAATTTCTTCTTGTAGCAGTACTACAGGGGGAATTCCAAGTCAAGTAAAACAGCTCAGTACAGCAAATGAGAAAAAGAACGTCCGCCTGGAGTTTACTCCCGTCCATTATGTGATGTTTTATGAGATCAACAAAAGTGTTAACTGTGAAAACAGTTCTGACGAAACAACCAGTCAAAGTTAAAATGGCAGTCCATGCCACTCATGGCAGTAAAATGTGTGAAATGATTGAAAATTGATGGAAAAGCAGGGAGGTGTGTTAAATGTTTATTAATTAAAAAAAAAAACTAGACTTGTACACAGTACACAAAGAAAAAAATCAAACCGAAAACATCAAAAAGTAGAGGTTATAGAAAGTGATAGGATGGATCAAAGGTCAAAAGGTAAAGGGTGAGAAGGGTAAGGATCACTACCAGATGAGGTCACAGCATAACTGATATTTGAACTTAGTGCATAAATCAGTGAGATGGTCAATAATATGCAGCATCTCCATGAACCACAGTGGGTGAGAATGTGAGTGGGTTAAAGGCTGATGTCTTACGTCACTGGACAGTCTGCTGGTGCCCAGGATGTGCTGCATGTTCAGAGACTCGGACATGTCGGTCACAGGTTTGTGCATCTTCTTCAGGTCGCCCTTATACTTCACCTGGGGGTAGGGTCAGTTACATATATATAATAGATAAAACAAAAATAAATTATGATTACAGAAAAAATAAAAATGAAACCATCAAAAGGGTTGAGAAAAGTGAGACAGCATGCACGGACAACTGGATGTGTGTGTGTGTGTGTGAAACAAACGTGTGTTATGAAGGTGAAGGAAATTAGTCTGGTCTGTCTTGCTCAACATACCTTCAAACATCATGCAAAGGCATAAAAAGGCATCTGTGAATTTGGACAGGAGCTCTTAAATCTGTCTTGAACAGTAATCTACAGAATGAAGCCTTGTTTTGACATCATGTTGACGGAGCACCTACCTCACTAGCCAGGTCATTGGCATCCTTCATAATCTTGTAGATCTTGGCCTCCTTCAGGTCATATATTGGTCTCTTTCCTTTCAGCTCCTTGTCAAACTTCTCCTTGTACTTCAACTATAAAGGTAAGAGTTAACACATTGGAAACATTTCAAGGATGACATACTATAATGATTTTTATGAGGGATGAGTAACTTGGGACACTTTGAAAAGCTTTTCATAAAAACCTTGGACATGTTGTGTGGTCCACTTTAGTTTGTATCCCTTCTTGCACAAGAAAAACAACTTCAGTCAAACTGTACATCTTCTAAACAATGATTAATATATAGCGCCATTTTATTTTTCATTTTTATCCATGAGAGAGCTGTCATGAATAAAAATGCATTCTAATGTAAAGTGTGATTCCTCTTCACACTTTACATTAGAATGCATCTCAAATGAGTGGCTTTTGCTGCCCGGCCCTATATGGTTTCCTCTGATGGAAACAGCTGGATGGAGGAAGAGGAGAGTTTAGGAGGACTGGTTTAAGGATGGAGGTAGGACCGGTACAATAAACCGTTAACATATAAATCTACTTTCAGAAAGTCACAATGAGAAATTAAGATGTGGATTATAACACAGGGAGGCAGATGAAGTACTATGGAGCAGCTGCTAGTTCTTTTACAAAACTGCTGCTAAGCATCTACCAGCAATAATAGCATATGGAAGCTGATCCGACATCCAAGCAGCTGATCTTTCCTGCAGTAATGGTTTGGTGTACCTGGCTGTTCAGCTTGGCCACTCTAGTGGCCAGGTCGATGTCTGGGCGGAAGGTCAGAGAACCTCCGCGGCTTGCCTCCTCACGGGCCTTGTCACGGTAGCCGATCTGATGGAAACAAGACAAGAATTAATGGGCCAGTACCATCAGGTCTTCTTGTTGTTGTTGTTGTTGTTACTTGATGCTCTTTTTGCAAAGCCATCATTGTTGTGATCATCAATGGTGGGAGAATATTACATTTCTAATGATTTTTGTTGAAAAAATTTGTGTTTCCTGGTGTTTTTGAGAGATTGTGCAAATACAAAACATTTACCATTCTTTTCATTAAAAGGTCTAATAACATGTGGACCAGGGGGATATATTTATATTTAAGCATCTGATCAAGAGTGAGTGTACATCTATTTAAGGCTAATTGTGGAACTAAAAAAAATCAGGCTTGTGAACTGCACAGTCAAAATTAACAACCTTAAATTCTGTGGATAAGTGATATTTGGAAGAATTTTAAATACAGGTGTTCTTGTCCCCATCACCAGGTCAGAGTGAGATTTGAAAAAAAACTTCCCCCCAATCGAAATGTTCAATTACAGAGTGAACAACAGCCATATAAAAGTTGACAGTGATGCTCTTGAACCTGCAAACAGCCTGGTCCCAGCACCAGGACCACTCAGGTAATGGTTACCTGACTGATAAGTTTGGCGGCATGGGTCGCTTTCTTTATGTCAGGACGGTCAACAACAGAAGTGTAATTCTGGTTGGCTTTAGCATCCTTCTTGTAGATAATCTGTGGCATTGGGCAGAAGAGCAGACTGAACACACTATTTGCCAAAAAATGACCAACACATTAAAACCAAAATCAGAAAAGATGTGAAACTACTGCAACCTGGATATTGAATAAACTCAATAACATGTTATTTCAGCACTCACACTGCTCTGCTTCTTGGCCACGTCCATGGCATGTTGAACATCAGGTGGTTCAATCATATGGTTATACTCTGATTTGCCCTTCTCCTTCTCAAACTTTTCTTTATACACGTTCTGTAAACAGAGCAAGGAACATTCATTTCAATTCAATTCAATTTTATGTGTATAGTGCCAAATCACAATCAGGACACAAAGTAAGTCTAGACCTTACTATTACTATTATTATCATTACTACTGTTATTGAGGAAAAACCAACAAATGCTCCTTGAGCAAGCACATGGCAACAGTGGGACGGCCAACAACACAAAAACAGTCCAGGAGTGTGAGCTGACTTTGTAAAACAAATGTGAGACTGTTGTACCTTGCTGACGAGCTTGTTGACCTCCCTGCTGTGGGCAGTGTCGCGGGTCACAGGCAGGGTGGTGAATTTGCCAGAATGTATGATCTTCTTATTGGCCTCCTTGTATGTGTTCTGAGTAAGAACATAAAGACGTTATGACAAACATGTTGTGGTAGTCTTAAAAACAGCTATTTCTGTCTGGTACAGTTTATTCTAAAGCTGACAAAGATTTACACAAAGGTGTACAAAAGTGTAACATTTCTTACCACAGACGACAGAGTTCGCACAGCCTGGGCATGGAGGATCTGAGGAGTGTCTGCGACGGCTATGTAGTGGCCCCTTGCCTTTTCATACTTCTCTTTGTATTTTAGCTTGAAGAAATGAATAAAATATTAGTTTACAGCATATTAAACAATACATCGTGAAATAGTTGTATTTGACATCTCAAACGAAGTCTCTCTGCCCTTTAGTAGTTTCATTCCATCACAGAGTTGTTCATAAAGAAGGGGGATACTTACAGAACTGGCCATTATATTATTGTTTAAGCACAGGACAGTTAGCTTGTCATCAACTATAGGCGTCACACAGCCCTTCAGCATCTCTCGGTCAAACTTGTACTCAAACTGTGGGTGAAACAATGAAATCAAATGTAAAAATATTGTTGGATGTTGCATTTTGAAATAAAAATGGAAAATAACACATATATATAAAAAGAAGCATCGACTAACATCGCTCAGCTGCGAGGTGTTATTGATAGCGTTGAGAATGTCAGGTCTGTCTGCTATCCAGCTCCATTTGAACTTGGTCGCTTCATACTTTCTCTTGTAATCCAGCTAAAAATGATCAAATGTTTAATCAGCATTTTGAGTTCAGTTTTGATTAATGGTGAACAGAAAGTGATATTTTGTGCTACCATTACCAAAGGCACTTACATTGCTGATTTTCTTGTAGGCATCCTTGGCAACTTGAATTGAACAAGCCTCAAGGTCCATGTTGATGTGGGCCTTGTTCTTCTCGTACAGCTCTCTGTACTTCAGCTGCAAAATGCAAACATAAAGATGTATTTCATATGTCTGGCTTCCTTACCTCTGTAAGAAAGTAAGACAGGTGCAGTAGAACTTACAATGCTGGGGAAATCCTTGACCTTCAACATGTGCTTTTGGTGTGGAGTGTCAAAGGGCAAGGTGTAACCCTTAGCCTTGTTCTTGTGGTACTCCATCTTGTAGAGGATCTAAGGAGTAATTATCAGCACATAGTAAGGAGCAGTTCAAAACAAATCAAAATCTAAGTAATGCTAACACCCACACCAGACTTACATCTCTTATCTTCAGGCTGCGTTTGTGGGCCTCATAGTAAGGAGTCTCCAGGACAGTGGCAATCTTGTCCTTGGCACGTTCATACTTCTGCCTGTACCTCCACTGATAAAGGAGGATGGTGTGTTTAGAAAGTCAGACTCACTCATAATCAACTTACCACTGTAATCATTTTATTTTTAATAATGAATGTTCTGACAGTTTGTCTTGCTAAAGTAAATAACAAATCTGCGAAAAGTGACCTTGAAAAGAAAGAACTTAAAGAAACTACTATGATGTTGAGGCAGACATGGAGACAAATGATGTCCTGCTCAGTCAGTTAAGATCAGACAGTTTTCAATTTGAAACAGTCAATTTTGAAAATGACATAATAAAGCTAAGGTGTAAAACACAATTCGTTTATTTTGTTTTTCATTTACTCTTCAGGTTCTTCTTAGATAATCTTCTGCCAGTATAAGAGCAAAGTCAGAAACATACTGTGTATTGTGTATTGAATGGAGTGGTGCCATGCTAGAGTTTATAAAAACATGCTTTATGAGACATGCACAAACACAAATGGTGAAACTGAAGCAGGTGAAAATGAAGGTAAGGACACGTATTACCACTATTCGCTCATGAAAGTCTGCAGTGCCCACGTAGTTCATGTGGACCAGCAGCTCATCTTTATGCTACTGCTCACTGAACCTGAGGCCGACGTATAAACTGGCTTCAATGACGACGAGGTTAACTCAAGAGAAGATGATAAAGGTCAAGCAACAAAAAAGTGTCTTGACACTTTAACTGCATCAGAAAGGACATTATGGCACCGACTTATCTACAAAGAAATCTAGACAATCGACACAAACTGTATATCAGATGACTGATGCTACTATTTGCTGCATTTCCATCCATTCCATCCATTTTCCTCCGCTTATCCGGGACCGGGTCCCGGGGGCAGCGGTCTAAGCAAAGATGCCCAGACTTCCCTCTCTCCAGACACTTCCTCCACTTCCTGCTGCATTTCTTATTCTAGATATGTGTGTGTGCTGTTGGGGAACTACTGCACTGCATTTAAAGATGAGTTAAAGGTTCAGCAATCAATGAGATAGGAAGACAAATAAATAGATGATTGAGGGATTAAAGGCATGAAAATGAAGGGGGCAATGTGAGGAAGTTCAAACCCTTTAGGAGTTAAAGTGGGTTGAATGGAGGGAAGGAGTTTTTGATATGCTCAAATCTTGTCCAGAAACAGCAGGGAGGAACAAATGTACCCGCTAACTTACAAATATAATTGTGAGTCTTAAAACGACACAGTCCACTGACTGTTTGTGGACAGGGATCAGAGTTATCAGGTTCACCACACTGTGGCTGTTTACCTGACTGCCAATAAAGGACTGGTAAAGAGCTGTGAGAATGTCAGGGCGTTGTAGCTCATTGCAGCCTCTCTTTAGCAGATCCTTTGCTTTGAATTTATACTTTACCTGTTCACACACACACACACACACAAGAACACACAGCATGCCATAGTTGAGGACACGTGAAAAACAGCAGTAACACTGGGAGAACTGGAGAAATACTCCAGAGATCCAAGTGTGATGAAGGAGCTGTTTGTCCTCATGTGTGCCCTCAGAGAGACAGTACTCCAGTTTGATTTTGTTGAGATTTGTTCATTTGTTTCTTTAGACATAGTCATGATTTAATAATCATTACTTCACCATCAGCGAAGGCGTAATTTAGCTGTTTTTCTGGTGGCACAAATAAAGGAGCGTCCTGCTCATTCAAGATAGCATTCCAGCTGCTATTTGAGTGGCACTGTTGACAATGACCTGTGGGACAAAACGTGAGAACAACTGGACACTAACACAGACACAGAGAGAAATGTATCGTGTTGGATGAACTATCATCGCCATGCGACGATGATCACCAGTAGGTCTATCGATGACCTCATGCAGCAGAGTCAGAGGCCTGACGGAACACACTGGAGGTAGCAGTAGAGGAAGCAGGCCGGGTCGTTCAACACAACCAGAGCGTTTACCTGGCTCATCTTGCCGACATGCCTGGCCAGCTGGTATCTAGGTTCCTCTGTATTTAAGGTGTACTTATCCTTGGACTTCTCATAACGAGCTCTGTAAGCTTTCTGCTCAGAATGTCAGAAGGAGGTTAAAGACAAATATCCAGACAACAATGTGCACTGTCTTGTGATGAGAAGTTACCAGAGAACAAAGGAAAGTTAAAACAGGTTCATATGAAAAACAACGGACATATTGTAAAGATGTGATATTACTATTACAGTTAAAAATCCTAAACATTATAGACAATAATCAAAGTCACACTGTTTTACCTCTAAGCTGAGAGTCCAGTAAAGATGCACACACAGAGAAATGTGATTGACTAAAGTGTATAATTTTATCAAACAGGGTTCAACAAACTAGTTATAACACTGGTTCAAAAATCAATTTGTCAGTCACTGTATTGGGTTAAAGAATGAAAGGACTCACATTGTCAGTGAGAGCGGTGGCATGCTTGGCAGTGTGGAAGAATGGGGTGTCGCTGGTGTACTTGAAATTGTGCCTGTTCTTTTCATAGAAAGACTTGTACAGTTTCTGTTACACAGAAATAAAAAAAGAGAAATATAACGCTCCATTAAAGAACGCTACACATACGACAATACAAGAATGAACTTAAAACAACACACAGTGAATATTACATGGTATTTTTGACATAGCAGTTTATCAGAACTATTACAATATGAAATAAATGGATCCTTCACCTTACTGTACAACGCCGTGTTCTTCTCAGCCAGCTTAATATCAGGTGTGTCCCACACAAAGCAGCCAATACCCCTCAGCCATTCTAGGTCCTCCTTGTACTTGACCTAAAAAGAGCCATAAAAAGAGATTTAACTGAAAGAGTACAAAGCATGTCAACAATACTATAAACCCTTCTACCTATTGTGGGTAAATATGTTAACACAGGGTGCATCATTTTAAAATGCAAGTCAACAATACTCACAGTACTGGCATTTTTATTGACAATTTTGTTGAAGGATAACTCAGGACGGTCGGGGATGGACCTCCATGTTCCCAGAGAACTAATGTACTTGTGCCTGTATTTAACCTGAAGTAGAGAGATTGAGAGAGAAATAGTGAGTAAAATGAAAAAGTTAAAATCATCGTCTAAATATAAAGACTGCACGACATTCCTAACAAACAAGCTCATTTCTAACGGCTGACCTGACTGACGTCATCAGTGACCCTGCGGTGGTAGACGATATTCAGAGCGTCCTTGATAGTGTGGTAGTGGCCCTTGGCGAGCTCAAAAATCTCTTTGTAACGCAGCTGAAGACATTAAGGACAAAATGTGTTACATGGTCATCAAACACAAATACATATAGTGGGGTTGATAGTGTCCAACTACCAATTATCCAACGAGGATACTCACATCACTGGACTGAAGGTAGGCTTTCTTGGCACGGATCAGGAGAGGTGTGTCAGCAATGGAAGTGTGCTTGTGCTTGAACTTCTCATATTGTTCTTTGTACTTGTTCTGAGGGAAGAAATCATTTTTGCAACACATCACAAATTTGGGTCAGAGGAGAGTTAGATAATGAATGTTACTTAATTGTGATACCTAGAGTTTACTATGAAGATCTACAGCTATTTCTTTTCTATAGTAGTATTCTACAGAATATTATGGAGTAAACATACAAACGCAAGGGAGATATTGTCATTTAAATTGTATGGAGGTGAGGGGTAATGAGTCCACTGCCCAACAGCAGTAATGAGGTGCAGAAGACTTACCTCACTGTAGACCACCTTCATTTTTCTAGAATGGCCCATGTGTGGAGTTTCAACTTCTAGAGTGTAATGAGGTCTCTGCTTAGCAGCCAGATCTGTGTACAGGTACTGCAGAGAAACAGAAGAACCATCAGATGATCAGAAAAAGAAAATAAATCTGTGTAAAACAATACATTCAGTAAGTGAAGCTGTATCTAAACCTACATGGTTAGTCAGTAGCTGGGCCCATTTGGCTCTCTTGAAATCCACAGAGTCTGGAGTTGTGGTGACCTTAGGCATCTCCGCCTTGCTCTGGGCTTTGTAGATCAGCTGGAAATAGAAGAGCAGAAAAGGTCAAGCCCAAAGCTCAGCCAAGCCTGTCATATTATATGTACAAACAAACAGTATACAAACAATCTTATAAAAAAGCCTGAAACATTAAAAGTTATTTAAAAGCTACTTAATGCAGGGATATATACCAGTACTCTTTTTGGAGTCCTGATAGTGTGAAGAAGTGTGTTTGGGAAACCGACTTACGCTGCTTAGGTGGGTCTTCAGCTCAGACACACGCTTGTACTCTGGTGTGTCCAAGACCACGTGGTAGCTGTCAAGGTTCTTCTTGGCATCCACAGGATAGTTCAACTAAAACAGGGCATACAAACTATCGTGATGCCACTGTAGCAATCTGAATATGGAGAGGAACTGAAGGACTCTGATATAAAGAGATACTGTGTCCAAAAACCAAAAAAAACAACAACCACATACCCTGAAGTTGGTGATTTTACGGATACGGACCATCTCTGGATTGTTATACAGGTGGCAGCCGATGCCTCTCAGCCACTTCAGATCTTCTTTGTATTTCAGCTAAAAGAAAAAAAACAATTTTAATGAACAATTTCTTACATTTTAAAGTTAATTTTGTGTGTCAAACCTATGTGTGTTGTCACCATACCTCGCTGTTGATCTCATTGACATGGGCGTAGTGTATCAGCTCAGGTGTAACAGGCAAAGAGATCATCTGGCCTCTGCTGTTGAAATATTTCTCTTTGTACCACAACTAGAAGGCGATGGGAACAAGAAGGTGGCGTTAACAAAACATACTATTATTATACACCATCAAGCTATGTGAATAAAAATAGAAACATGAATGACATAAATTGTGAGACAATAGTTTCGTACGTCACTGATGTGGTCCTGGTTCTTCTTGACTAGTCTGATACTGGGGGTGTCGTAGGTTGTGTGGATCTTGTCCTTGTGCTTGTGGTAGTCCTCACGATACAGGCGCTACAGTAGAGTAGAAAGTGACATACGCCGTTTCATAAACACACCCACTAGCTCCATGTAAATACTATGGAATATAAGCTGCTGTATTCTCACATGGGCACACTCAGACATTGCTGACGGAGCTGGCAGGATAAAGTCTGTTTAATGCTCAGGTCAAATGCCTCGGACATTTGCGTTGTCATATACAGCTACTCCGGATGATGTGTAGATAATTTCAGGGTTCTAGCGCCTGTCTATATACAGTATGACGAGGTTAGCAGTAGCAGCAATTTGTTACATTACCTCATTGATGACCTTGTTGGCTTTCCTTACAGCGACGAACCCGACACTTTCTGGATGAATCATGTATCCCTTGGCCTTCATCATCTCATAGACCTCCTTGTACTTCACCTAGAAAATAAAAGCAAATGTATGTGGCTCAGTAAGTTCAAACTACATGAGGACAGGATAATTGGATGACTCAAGAAAGTGAAATACTTACATAGCTAGAGATAATGCTGTTCAGCTTGGCCTGCTTGATGGGCGGGATGTCATAGGGCAGGGTGTAACCAGTGGGCATGGAGTGCTTATTGGCCTCTTTGTACCAGTTCTGAGAGAAGCACACACAAACACGACAGGGTGAGCTGGGCTGTATTTCAACTGGAAAACCATATATACCAGTAGATATACAGAAAGATGATGCTGAACAAAATCCTAAAGGTAAACTCTTAAAAGGGAAATAGAAGAAGTTTTTATTCTTTTTTTTAACAACGGTTGTTTAGTCTGTCACACAGTTTGAGATACAGTCATCACTGCTAATGACTGTACAGAGATGGCTGAAAGAAGTTGTACTTCTGATCTTTGACTTTAAATTATCCATATTCAAAATCTCAAATTACTGCTCACTATAGCATAATCAATAGTGTGGTTTGTGTAGTGTACTCTTTACAACCATAACACACTAAATATACTATGAAAACAGTATATGAGGGTAACTCCTAAATGAGTACACTCATTATTAAGGAAAATAATCTTACATCACTCTGAATGTAGTTAGCCTGGCGTGCCCTTTCTGTTTCCACGGTAACAGCAGGAGCAGTGTTGGTGCCCTTGATGTTTGCATTGTAATCATAGTGGTAGTGCACCTGGAAAAAGAAAAGAAAGATGAGAAGCGGGTCATGATTTTCTCTTACCTAAAAAACAATATAAAGTTAGAAACAGAGGTAATAAGAAAGTCACTTACATCGCTCAGGTGCTCAGAGCTCTGCTTGGCTGTCTGGTACAGTGGAGTGTCCATCACTACCGAATAGTCCTGGAAACCCTCAATACCTTTGGCTCTGTACTTATTCTGTAATAAAAACACAAGATGGCAGTTATCACTGCTTCTAAATAAAAACTTTAGGTAGCATAAAATGTGTATAGATCGAAAGGGAAGATGAACCATGTGTGCCAAAGAGACAAGGAATTGTGAAAAAAATGTGAATTGTGGAAAGAGAACAGAAAGTTTCAAAAATATTACTAAAAGAAATAAAGAAAGAATATACTGAGTCTGCTAACCTCACTCTGAAGATCACCAGCACGCTTGACACGAAGGATCTCTGGGGTGTCCCAGGCAAAGCAGCCAATACCCTTCAGATAGTTCAGATCATCCTTGTAGAAGAACTGGAGCAAAACAAACCCACAAGTTAAATGACTTTTGGCAGATGTGTTTGTATTACAGCTGACTGAAACCTGACCTTTTTTCATAAGGATAAGTATATAAGCATCTGTCTATCTATTCATCTATACATTCCCTTGAACTTTCCTTGTATATATAATTACAGAAGGTAGGTATAAGCCAATAATTTTCCATGTTAAAATATAAAGTTAATGTGTAACTGACGAAATATAAGCAAGAACTTAGCTGTACCTTTGACCTGTCTCTATCTCCTGCGCCTATAAAATAACATGAACATCCAGAATATCAAGCCATGGACAGTTACTCACATCACTGAGCTGCTTGTTGACTTTGCGTGCCTCGACATACACCTGCATGTCAGGCCGGCAAATCCACTCATGTAGATACTTGCGGTAGCCGATCTCACTGACTTTGTTCTGAGTGTTATGGGCAGTCAGGATCTCCAGCATGTCTGGTGGAACATGGTTGTTGGCCTTGTTCTTCTCATAGTCCTCCTTGTACAAACGCTATGAAAAGGGACAACAGGTGGTTCTTTGATTTCTCACATTATATATGCACAAAATAAATCTATACAGTTAGATGTAGTTTAGCTGATTATTTGTTAAAATAAAGCCAATCTTACAGGACTCCTGTATTCCTCATTAACTGAAATAAAGACATGTAGAAGATGGCAAATCAAATTCAACTCACGTCTAGGACCAGTTTTCCAGCTTTGATACAGTGAGCAGTAGGAGGATCTTCCTCAAGAGACTTGGGCAGACTGTAGAGAGATTTAAACTTCTCATAGTCCTCCTTGTACTTCACCTAAAAGGGCAAGATGACCCATATTGGCTCTCAAATGTCAACAGTAAAACTCACATTTGAAGAAAATATCAGCACAGCAGTGAAACGAGCAAAACTCAGACTCACGTGGCTAAGAAGGATCTTTTGGGTTTTGGCATGTCGCAAAGCTTGTGAGTCATGTGGAATCTTGTAACTCGTGGCTTTGATTTTGTCCCAGACATCAGTGTAGTTTTTCTGTTGACAGAAAACGTAGAGCATTATCAATATGTTGTGGCATGTTTAAATACCATTTACAAATCTATTATCTTAAGTCTAGTCTCTGACTGAAAGACAGACATGTTTAACTTCACTTACTTTGCTGAAGATTAATTTGAAGTTTTGGCATCTGGTATAGTCGTGGGTATCCAGAACAGTGGTATAGATGTGCTTCTCCTTCTGATAAGCCTCCTTATAGTTGACCTGTCAATGACAATTGCTTAATCAATACACAATAGGATATCAAAACAATAATGGATATATGTACTTATGTTTGTAAAGGTCTGTCTCACTTACCTCACTGGCCCAGTGGTTACCCAGAACAGCAGTCACATACACCGGGGTGTCTGTCACAATGGAGTAATTGTTGAATTCTTTCTTGGCATCCTCTCGGTATTTAATCTAGGGAAGATATTATAAAGATAAATTGTCATAGCTTCACAAACAAAAACAAAACACTCAGTAAATCAAACACTATACGTAACATTTCAAAAGGTTCCCTGTGATCTCCAGTGTTGTTACTCACTTCACTCTGCAGCGCGTACGACTTCTTGGCACGTAGGATTTCTGGTGTGTCCCATGCATAGCAACCAGACCCCTTCATCCAGTTCAGGTCCTCCTTGTAGAACCACTGTAAAATAAAAATAGCAAAAAGTACAAAACTTGGACTTTGGTACAATCTCTTACTTGTACTGTATATGAAGCTGACCTCTAATGAAATTTTGAGAAAATTCTTACTTATGACCAACTCCAGAATTTGGACTGCAAAATAACTGCTCATACAATAACTCTCAAAACCTTAAATGGTTGCTCGGACATGGGTTTCTCAAATCGTCTGCCACAGGACGCTGTGCGGTTATCAACAATATGCTGTAGATGTGCACTGAAGAAGGACCTACATCACTGAGAATCACGTTGTTCTTGCGGGCACGAACGGTATCTTCCTGTTCAGGAAGGCAAGTCCACTCGTGCAGGTAGGTACGGTAGATGATGTCACTCAGCATGTCCTGGCACCGCTTAGCTACTCGGTTAGGGATGATGTCGGGCGGGATGTGGATGTTGGCCTTGCTATCATGGTAGTCCTTATGGTAGAGCCTCTGTAAAGCAATGCATACCATGGAACGTTACACTGTCATTAACAGTAAGAATCAAATAAACCAAAATGAAGCTGTTGCATTTAATAACAAATGTAAATCTCTAAATAATAAAAAAGATTTGCAAGCCAGGTCTCATGTCCTGGAGTAATATCTTCTACTGTTAATCTGGCCCAACTATGTTGCAGACCGTTTACAGTCCTCTAGAATCCAATATGCAGACTCTGTTCTTTGGTATAAAAATAAGACAGAAGAAAAAGATGTGCTGTCATTCACTACACTCTGTCTTTATAATATAAAATAAAGACAACTTTTAAAGCATTTTATGCTGTTATGTACCAGAATTCTGGTGCATGTGGTGCCTGTTTAACTGCATTACATTACAGGAAGTTTCTTTTTCTAGTGCCTTACAAAATGTATTAAGAAGCCTTAGTATGTATAGAATAAATGGATATACTGTTATCTGCTATGGTTTGCCTCCATGCTTCCTATTTTTCTGTTGTTTTTGCCCAGATTCCCTGTCTCTTCCTGCCTGCCATGTCTCCACCAGCATAATCAATCATCATCATGTCCACCTGCCACTCATTACCTCACGGTTCAGCTCCCCATATATATGCCCTTTTCCGTTAGTTCCCCACTGGCTCGTTGTCACACATACATGCTGCCCGACTCTCCAGCTCTCTGTCCCCTGGCTCTGCACTCTCCAGTCCTCCACTTGCCTGCCTCGTCTCCAGCTTCACTCTGCCTGCCTACTTTGCCTCCTGTCAGCCCAACGCTGTCTGCCTGTCCAGTCCAGTACCTGCTCTGCCTCTGTTCCCCTCTCCTCCACCCAGTAACTTATCCCTGGTTTGTTGAATAAACACCTTTTTTACACCACTCTCTGTGGAAGTCTGCATTCTGGGTCCTAATCACCACCCAACATGACATTTATCATTATCTTACCAGTCCCTTGTGCTTCTCCTGATTTCCACAGTGCACCGCAGCAGGGAAGTCCATCAGGGTCCCAGCCATGTAATGACCCTTGGCCTTCTCATGGCCTTCTTTGTACAAGACCTAGTAACAATACCAGAACAATAAAAGTTTAGATTTTGTTTATGGGCTCCAAAGATAAGCCAAGATAAACATAATTCCAGGTGCTTTTGCCTTATTAGCACTGAGAGAGTCTAAGATACTCACATCACTAGCGATTGCTCTTCCCTTCTTACCACTGACCAGTGGGATGTATTCATTGTCCAGCTGGTAGCCTATGGCCTTAAACCCATCCCACTGCAGTTTGTAGAGTTTCTGAAATCACACAAAGTAGGAACAAACTTTAAAAAAGGCAGATAAAATATGTGATACACAATTAACAATTACTATACACTAATGAGAAAATCAAACTATTTGCTAATTATTTAACATTACCTCACTGATGTTCTTAGACATCTCCCTGCTATGGGCCAGCTGAGGAGTGTCTTTTGAACCAATGTAATGCCCCCTCTCCAAATTGAAGGTCTCTTTGTACTTCAGCTATAGTGGGAAAAAAAGACCATATTTCAGACTTTATAACTGACAGTTATTTAGTAATAAGCATCTTACAATTGTACAACTATCACATACATCACTGAGGTTGGCAGAATTTATTTTTGCCAAGATGAGCTCAGGGCGGTCGACAACGTGGGTGTAATGTCCAAAGCCTTCTATGGCATTCTGCTTGTAGAGTCTCTGCAGGTAGAATTTGGGCATTAAGGTGAGACGCAATGGATTGACAGCAAAATGGGTGAAACGTGCAAAAAATAAGATAGCCATATTCAAAAGGGGAATAATCTGGTAAACATACATCACTGAGAATCTCCTGGGCCTTCTTGACCTTGACATGGTGAACAGAGTCACCTGCCATCCAGCCGCAGCCACGAAGCCAATCCAGATCAGTCTTATAGACTTTCTGAAAACAAAAACATACAAACAGTTTAGGAGGTTAAGACAGAAATTCTGGTCAGTTTATTGTGTGAATATGATATGCACTTGTTTGGTGTGAATTCTGATTGCACTCACATCACTTTGGAGATCATATAATATCCTGGCCTGGACCACATCGTTGGAGTCTGGCAGACAAGTCCACTGGTGCAGATGAGTTCTGTAGTTGAAATCATTGACTTGGACCTGGCATTTCTTGGCATGTTCAATACTCAGCATGTCCACTGGCAGGTGGAACCTGGTCTTGGACTGGTTGAAGTCCTTCTTGTACAGAACATCACTGGCAATCTTGGCTGTGTTCAGAGCCAGCATGATCAGTGGGTCGTCATGAATGCTGCGAGCACCGATGTGGTGGCCGACCTGCCTACGGTATCCCTCAAGGTAATTGTGCTGCAGGACAGACACAAATCAAAAATCATCCTGATTTCTTGTTTAAATTAATTGAAGTGCCTGCACCTCCCCAACACAAACCTCTTTGAATCAGGTGCATAGCCCTTTTTAGACTAAAAGGATTATAGCATACACACTGATTTGATGGTCCACAAAATAATTATTTAGCCCAAGCTAAGAAGCCAACAATGTTAAGTCCTCATCAGATATTTCTTTTATTCTGTTAAATTAAGACCAACTTTAATAAGTTTTTGCTTTTTCTAATGAAAGGAACAGTTACAGCTTAGCCCCATTACTTACTCGACTCTGCGCTTTTGTATTAACGATGCACTGCTTGATTGGTACAGCATCTCCTGGCATGTAGTAGCCCGTGGCTTTGACCATATCCCACACTTTGGTGTATAGTTTCTGAAATGAAAATAGGCATAACATTTTTATCATAATGTATCAACTATCGAGCTGATAATAATAAAGGATAAATTGGAAAAAGACAAAATACTTCATTGAAATTTTAGAACTGAAATAAGTAGCAAATACCTTCCATGATTATCTTACCGGGTGAATGAGCTTAGCCACCTCTCTAGCTGTGGCAAGAGTTGGAGTGTCCACCAGTGTGTACTTGATCTTGTCATGGTGCCAGGCTTCACGATATTTGACCTATATATAAGGAGTAAGTCAAAACTCAGCTACCACAAGTAAATCCTATGTATCTGCCATTTCCACTTTGTTGATAAGTGTTTTAACTGTATGGACAACTTAAGTACATACAGCATCCAAACATAATCAGAGCCATAAAGTGCCATCTTTACCTCATTGAGGACATCCGTTGCATTCTTGGCACCAACAAAGTCAACTCTGTCGGTCTTAACTGTATAATTCTGCTCATCCAGTTTGACACGGTAGCCTCTCTGTAAAATATCAAAAAAGATATGAATAAAAAATAATTGCTAGAAATTAACATGTACATTGTTTTCTGGCTTAAATGAACTTCAGCAATATTTTTATAAGATTTTACAAATGTACAGTATATGGATGTATAAGATCTTAGAAGTCATTTGAAAGTCAGTGTAAGATTAGTCAGGTACTTACATCAGCCAGGATCTTCTGTGCATTCTTAGCCTTTAAAACATGCACACTCTGGTCTGGCATCCATCCACATCCACGTAACCACTCCAAGTCAGACTTGTATACAGCCTTAAAAACAAGACAGGCAAACGTCTTTTGTTTGTGGGTTTCCATGTGAGTAATGAGTGAGTGCACAGCATATCATCAAAAGACGTAAGAAAGATTTGATCACTGCAATGATGTGCACTACCATAGACCTACATCACTCTGAAGATCATAGGCTTTCTTGGCCTGAACCACATCATTGGAGTCTGGCAGACAAGTCCACTGGTGCAGATGAGTTCTGTAGTTGAAATCATTGACTTGGACCTGGCATTTCTTGGCATGTTCAATACTCAGCATGTCCACTGGCAGGTGGAACCTGGTCTTGGACTGGTTGAAGTCCTTCTTGTACAGAACATCACTGGCAATCTTGGCTGTGTTCAGAGCCAGCATAATCAGTGGGTCGTCATGAATGCTGCGAGCACCGATGTGGTGGCCGACCTGCATACGGTATCCTGTCTTATACTTGTACTACAAGACAAGAGATGAAAGGTTGATGAAAATTCAAGCAAGGAGCTCATTTATTATTCCATTGTAATAAAACCGTATCTGTATTTTTTCTTACATCACTAATTATATCTCTGGAAGCTTTAGCATTCTGCACAGCAATAGTATCCGCCTTGATATGGTAGCCTCTGGCCTTGTGTTCGTCCCATGCCTTTGTGTACAGTTTCTGCACAGAACAAAGTATAATCACAAAGACTGTAAGACATAGCGTCATCACACCAAAATCACAGTACTGATTCAATAATACAATTCAAGAAATGAGATATTTTTATAAATTTAAGATGTATTAGGTTTGACATTTCAACATAGACAGAGGTAGTACAGTGACTTACACCACTGATGTTGATAGAATTGGTCTTAGACAATTCAAAGAGGGGGGTGTCAGGAAGCATGTGAATGATGAGCTTCTCTTTATCCCAGAGTTCTGTATATTTTCTCTGTCAAAAAAAAAAAAACACTGACTTGTTCATTTTGACATTTTCATTCATGATGGTCTTTATACAAAATATTCAGTATTGAACTTTAAATTCACCAACGAAGGCATTAATATGTCAAAGATGTTATACTCACATCACTGAGATTGTCAGAATTTTGCTTGGACAAGACAATAGATGGGAGGTCGACAATGCTGGTGAACGGGACAGTGCTTGGGTGCTGGCGGTAGAGCCTATCATTGAGAATATTCTGGGCATTTCTGGCTTTGATGACATGTAAAGAGTCATGAGGTGACCAGCCACATCCTCTCAGCCACTCCAGATCAGATCTGTAGACAGCCTGCAAAACAAATATCACGTTTTACCTCACCAAATATGGTTGTGTTTGTTCTTGTAGGTTTTGTATTTGTCTGACTGGAGGGTGTCTCAAAAATGGATGAAAGAATTCAGTTGCATTTATTGGATGCCAATCCAAGTCAGAATATTGGGATTGATCTGAAGACCTATGAAACTAACACTAGAAATGTGTTTGCATGATCAAGACAGTTCATACTAATAGTCACTTAATGCAGTTTCCATTATAGTAATGGTGCTTTTTGGTATGGCAATAAGAAGAGGATAAGAGCTGGCAACTAACTCCAAACTTACTTCAACAAATTCAACATGTATTGTACTTACATCACTGTTCAAGTCGTAGACTTTTCTAGCCTGGACCACATCGTTGGAGTCTGGCAGACAGGTCCACTGGTGCAGATGAGTTCTGTAGTTGAAATCATTGACTTGGACCTGGCATTTCTTGGCATGTTCAATACTCAGCATGTCCACTGGCAGGTGGAACCTGGTCTTGGACTGGTTGAAGTCCTTCTTATAGACGTTGTCACTGGTGATCAGAGCTACATGAGCAGCCAACATAATCAGTGGATCATCTTTAACACTGCGGGGACCAATATGACGGCCACACTGACTGCGGAAACCAGCCTTGTATTTGTACTGAAAATTTGGGACAGATATATTTTTGATCAGTTTTTCGATACAAACATTGCAGTGAAATGGCAAAACTTGATAAGAATGCAGCATATACAGTAAATTTATGAAGTGGATGGATAGTGAACTCCTTTAAAACAGAGGTACAGACTTACATCACTGATTATCTCTCGGGAGGCCTTGGCTGATAAAACAGAAATGGCATCTTTGGGGAGGGTGTAGCCTTTGTTGAGGCTTTCCACATAGCCTTCACGATAATGTTTCTGGAAAACCACAAATAATACTGTTGAGGTATTTGATATATACACTGTGTGCTATTTACCATAATACAAAATACAGTACCTAATGTATAGAGCAGACAATTTATTTTATACTAAATGTAATTAAAAAGTCAATTATGTGACAATGTCATTCATTCCTCAAATTTTAGCACAATTAATTGATTAAGATATGTAAAGTGAGTTGACCGTCAGTGATATTATAACATTTTATATAATCTACTAATTAGTTATACAGCTACATTAAAAAGCACAGCATTACCAGGCTGGTGTTGAGTTTATTCTGTTGGGCCAGAAGAATCTCTGGCGTGTCAGGCATGATGTGAATGTTGGTCTTATCCTTCTCCCAGGCAGAAATATATGCTTTCTATAAACAGCAGATTAACACAGTTTAGTGAAACATGACTTTATTTGAATTACAAATGAAAAGACAATGATGAAAAAGCAATCAAATGCAATGACAGAACACTAAATACGATGTGCTTTCTCTACCTTGTCCATGATCTGGGCATTGGCCTGAGCAAGGGCGAATGGCATGTCGCTTGTCTTGGCAGTGAACGTGAAGTTGCTTGGAGGCTGACGGTACTTTCTCTCGCTCAGGATCTCTGCTGCTTTCTTGGCTTTCTCCACATCAGGTGAACCAATTGGTACCCAACCTGTACCCTTGATCCATTCCATGTCAGTCTTGTACACAGCCTACAGACAAGATGTGTTTTTAATAATTATGAATATAGTGTTCAGCAAACATATTACAAATACTATATACTCACGTCACTCTGCAGATCATAGGCTTTCCTGGCCTGGACCACATCATTGGAGTCTGGTAGACAGGTCCACTGGTGCAGATAAGTTCTGTAGTTGAAATCATTGACTTGGACCTGGCATTTCTTGGCATGTTCAATACTCAGCATGTCCACTGGCAGGTGGAACCTGGTTTTGGACTGGTTGAAGTCCTTCTTGTACAAAACATCACTAGCAATCTTGACTGAGTTTAGTGCCAACATGATCAGAGGATCGTCATGGATAGTACGGGCCCCAATGTGGTGACCAACTTGCATACGGTATCCTGTTTTGTATTTGTACTGCATAGAGATAAAAGGCAAAGTGATAGTTAAGAGAATAAACATAAGCACGTCAGCAAAGGAAAGCATTCAACTGTATGTTACATACATCACTGATGATGTCTCTTGAATGTTTGGCAGCAACAACAGAGACAGCATCTGCCTTAAGGTCGTAACCCTTTCTGAACATCTCCTCAACACCTTCCCTATATATTTTCTGAAAAAGAAATGAAATTATGTTAATTATAAAAACAAAAAACATATGATGTCTATGATATTGATATCCACTGATAGGAATGTAGAAAAATAGATTAGACAAAAACAAACATACCCTGCTGATGTTGTAAGCATTTGCTTTGGAAAGCAGCATCTCAGGTGTGTCAGGCATTACATGAGTATTAACCTTTTCAGCTTCCCAAGCAGCAATGTAGTTTCTCTGTGGTGATAAAAACACAACTGTTAAATCACAAATTGCAACCACTAGAAAAAGACTGAAGAAATGTGTAAAGATTACAAATTATATGTGATATTCTTTACCTTGTTCATTATATCAGCATTTGTTTTGGCTAGGACCATGGGCATGGAAGTCATGTCAGTCTTATATTTCAGTGTGTCTGGTTTCTGCCTGTAGAGACGGTCGTTGAGAATGTTTGCAGCATTCTTGGCCTTCAGTACATCCAGTGAACCAATGGTGACCCATCCTACACCTACAACCTCATCCAAGTCAGCTTTGTATACAAGCTGGTGGAAAAAACACATATATATGTAATATCAAAACACATAGGCACAGTCAGCGTGGCATAATATGTTGAGAGATGCTGAATATATCACAGACGTGCTTACATCACTCTGAAGATTGTAGGCTTTCCTGGCCTGAACCACATCGTTGGAGTCTGGTAGACAGGTCCACTGGTGCAGATGAGTTCTGTAGTTGAAATCATTGACTTGGACCTGGCATTTCTTGGCATGTTCAATACTCAGCATGTCCACTGGCAGGTGGAACCTGGTCTTGGACTGGTTGAAGTCCTTCTTGTACAAAACATCACTGGCAATCTTGGCTGAATTCAGAGCCAGCATGAGCAGAGGGTCGTCCTTGATACTGCGGGCACCAATGTGGTGACCAACTTGCATACGGTATCCTGCCTTGTACTTGTACTGTAAAGGAGGAACAAAACAACTGATTATGATTGTTTTAAAGCAATATCAGTAACAATATTGTTTTTAAGATTATGCTGCATATTAATTTTAATACACAATCATGTAGTTGATGTAGGTAGATAATCAATAACATTTGTTTTAAATAATAAGAACTATAAATGAAGAATATAAAATTAGCATGAAATAGATACTACATTAAAAACAAAAGTATTAATATATCATGCCTAAAATATGCTGCTAAAAGATTAAAATGATATTAAAACCTTAACGTTTGTCACATATTTAGATCAAATATTATTTGTGATAATTGCAAAGAGTGGAAATGAAGTCGTTTTACATCGCTGGCAATATCCCTGGAAGCCTTCGCTGCAATAATAGGAATTGCATCATTACGCATGTCGTATCCTTTCTTCTTGGACTCTTCATGTGCTTGCTTGTATGTTTTCTGTACAAAGGGGAAAATATATTCAAACAAAAACAAAGCTTTGTCTATTACTTCGAAAGCTTTAACAACAATTTAGCTTTTCTGACAGTGTTTAAGAAAGACTCACCACACTGTAGTTGACTCTGTTTGCTTTGGCCAGTAGAATATCCATGGCATCAGGCATAACATGGACGTTTGTCTTGTCTTTCTCCCAGTCTTTAATGTAGGCTCTCTGTAAAGTAAATTTTGTTAAGCTTCCATGGGTAAACTAACATATTTAGAAGTCACTGGGATGTATTCATAATTAAATCAACATCTTAGACAAATATCCTAGGCATAACTGTGGCATTTAGAAAAGCTGAACAATATCCAGAATAGGTTTGTAAAGTCTGCAGCAGGACTTTGCTCAAGGGTAAAATTCACTATGAGAATCTCATCTACTCTACCAGTGAAAACTTTGGACATGCTTTCCCATTCAATTCAATGGGAAAGTGTGGCAACACTGAGAATAATCTGAAAGAGGCCTAAGGTAGTTAATAATTAAACACAACTGTCAACAACAGAGATTCTTAATCCTATTAAAAGACTATCAAACCAGAACAAGTCTTGTCAACACCAGGAAAGTTAAGATCACAGACCAAATAACACAGGGTTCATCTTCATGTCCAATGAGAATTATACTAACCCTGCTTATGTTGGCAGAATTCTGCAGGGAGAGGAGGATCTCAGGAGTGTCAGGCATAATGTGCACCTGGGTCTTTGCATTCTCCCAAGCATCAATGTAGTGACGCTGGAAAAAAACAAATAATTCCAATGTTAATTGATGCTATTAAATAAAAACCTTTATGGCAAACCAAGACAATGATGATGAATTCTACCTTGTTTATGGTCAAGGCATTATTCTTTGCCAGTACAAGGTTCATGGCATCTAAGGGGCTGGTGAAAGGAACAGTACTGGGGTGCTGGCGGTACTTCCTCTCACTCAGGATCTCTGCAGCCCTCTTGGCTTTCTCCACATCAAGTGAACCAGAAGGGACCCAGCCTATGCCCTGGAGCCACTTCAGGTCTGATTTGTAGACATTCTGTGAAGCGCAGTAGCACAGAGTTTAACTCCTGACATATTTTGCAGCATGAACATAAAGTAAAAAACCATCAGAAGCAAATTAGTATTAAAGCTACACTTACATGGTGACCAACTTGCATACGGTATCCTGTTTTGTATTTGTACTGCATAGAGATAAAAGGCAAAGTGATAGTTAAGAGAATAAACATAAGCACGTCAGCAAAGGAAAGCATTCAACTGTATGTTACATACATCACTGATGATGTCTCTTGAATGTTTGGCAGCAACAACAGAGACAGCATCTGCCTTAAGGTCGTAACCCTTTCTGAACATCTCCTCAACACCTTCCCTATATATTTTCTGAAAAAGAAATGAAATTATGTTAATTATAAAAACAAAAAACATATGATGTCTATGATATTGATATCCACTGATAGGAATGTAGAAAAATAGATTAGGTCAAAAACAAACATACCCTGCTGATGTTGTAAGCATTTGCTTTGGAAAGCAGCATCTCAGGTGTGTCAGGCATTACATGAGTATTAACCTTTTCAGCTTCCCAAGCAGCAATGTAGTTTCTCTGTGGTGATAAAAACACAACTGTTAAATCACAAATTGCAACCACTAGAAAAAGACTGAAGAAATGTGTAAAGATTACAAATTATATGTGATATTTTTTACCTTGTTCATTATATCAGCATTTGTTTTGGCTAGGACCATGGGCATGGAAGTCATGTCAGTCTTATATTTCAGTGTGTCTGGTTTCTGCCTGTAGAGACGGTCGTTGAGAATGTTTGCAGCATTCTTGGCCTTCAGTACATCCAGTGAACCAATGGTGACCCATCCTACACCTACAACCTCATCCAAGTCAGCTTTGTATACAAGCTGGTGGAAAAAACACATATATATGTAATATCAAAACACATAGGCACAGTCAGCGTGGCATAATATGTTGAGAGATGCTGAATATATCACAGACGTGCTTACATCACTCTGAAGATTGTAGGCTTTCCTGGCCTGAACCACATCGTTGGAGTCTGGCAGACAGGTCCACTGGTGCAGATGAGTTCTGTAGTTGAAATCATTGACTTGGACCTGGCATTTCTTGGCATGTTCAATACTCAGCATGTCCACTGGCAGGTGGAACCTGGTCTTGGACTGGTTGAAGTCCTTCTTGTACAAAACATCACTGGCAATCTTGGCTGAATTCAGAGCCAGCATGAGCAGAGGGTCGTCCTTGATACTGCGGGCACCAATGTGGTGACCAACTTGCATACGGTATCCTGCCTTGTACTTGTACTGTAAAGGAGGAACAAAACAACTGATTATGATTGTTTTAAAGCAATATCAGTAACAATATTGTTTTTAAGATTATGCTGCATATTAATTTTAATACACAATCATGTAGTTGATGTAGGTAGATAATCAATAACATTTGTTTTAAATAATAAGAACTATAAATGAAGAATATAAAATTAGCATGAAATAGATACTACATTAAAAACAAAAGTATTAATATATCATGCCTAAAATATGCTGCTAAAAGATTAAAATGATATTAAAACCTTAACGTTTGTCACATATTTAGATCAAATATTATTTGTGATAATTGCAAAGAGTGGAAATGAAGTCGTTTTACATCGCTGGCAATATCCCTGGAAGCCTTCGCTGCAATAATAGGAATTGCATCATTACGCATGTCGTATCCTTTCTTCTTGGACTCTTCATGTGCTTGCTTGTATGTTTTCTGTACAAAGGGGAAAATATATTCAAACAAAAACAAAGCTTTGTCTATTACTTCGAAAGCTTTAACAACAATTTAGCTTTTCTGACAGTGTTTAAGAAAGACTCACCACACTGTAGTTGACTCTGTTTGCTTTGGCCAGTAGAATATCCATGGCATCAGGCATAACATGGACGTTTGTCTTGTCTTTCTCCCAGTCTTTAATGTAGGCTCTCTGTAAAGTAAATTTTGTTAAGCTTCCATGGGTAAACTAACATATTTAGAAGTCACTGGGATGTATTCATAATTAAATCAACATCTTAGACAAATTTTGCCCCATTCAAATGAATGGGAAAAATTTTCACACCTTAATATCTTCAGCATACCTTCAGCTAAAAACACAATTTCAACTAATAACTATTCAGCAGCTCTTCAGCTATTCATACCATAAATAGCTTTTTGATATATTTTACAGTTTTTGCATAATTACCATTTACATTTTATGTCGCATTTCAATATCCACACTCTAGTATTTCTCAGTGTGTAGGACTACTATTTCTTTCTCATACACACACATAGACACAGACACACAAACACCTACACACCCACACACATACAGAACCCTAATTGTTTTACCTGGCCTAAGGTAGTTAATAATTAAACACAACTGTCAACAACAGAGATTCTTAATCCTATTAAAAGACTATCAAACCAGAACAAGTCTTGTCAACACCAGGAAAGTTAAGATCACAGACCAAATAACACAGGGTTCATCTTCATGTCCAATGAGAATTATACTAACCCTGCTTATGTTGGCAGAATTCTGCAGGGAGAGGAGGATCTCAGGAGTGTCAGGCATAATGTGCACCTGGGTCTTTGCATTCTCCCAATTATCAATGTAGTGACGCTGGAAAAAACAAATAATTCCAGTGTTAATTGATGCTATTAAATAAAAACCTTTATGGCAAACCAAGACAATGATGATGAATTCTACCTTGTTTATGGTCAAGGCATTATTCTTTGCCAGTACAAGGTTCATGGCATCTAAGGGGCTGGTGAAAGGAACAGTACTGGGGTGCTGGCGGTACTTCCTCTCACTCAGGATCTCTGCAGCCCTCTTGGCTTTCTCCACATCAAGTGAACCAGAAGGGACCCAGCCTATGCCCTGGAGCCACTTCAGGTCTGATTTGTAGACATTCTGTGAAGCGCAGTAGCACAGAGTTTAACTCCTGACATATTTTGCAGCATGAACATAAAGTAAAAAACCATCAGAAGCAAATTAGTATTAAAGCTACACTTACAGATCATAGGCTTTCCTGGCCTGGACCACATCATTGGAGTCTGGCAGACAGGTCCACTGGTGCAGATAAGTTCTGTAGTTGAAATCATTGACTTGGACCTGGCATTTCTTGGCATGTTCAATACTCAGCATGTCCACTGGCAGGTGGAACCTGGTCTTGGACTGGTTGAAGTCCTTCTTGTACAAAACATCACTAGCAATCTTGGCTGAGTTCAGAGCCAGCATGAGCAGAGGGTCGTCATGAATGCTGCGAGCACCAATGTGGTGACCAACTTGCATACGGTATCCTGCCTTGTACTTGTACTGGAAGAACAATCAAAAACATTCCATGGTTACTTGTACAGTAATAAATGTAAGGTAATCGTTTTTCAGTGGTGAATTCCAACAGCTTACATCGCTGGCAATGTCCCTGGAAGCCTTGGCTGCGATGATGGGAATGGCATCATTACGCATATCATAGCCCTCCTTCTTGGAATCTTCATGTGCCTGTTTGTATCGTTTCTGTAAACAAACACAATCATCTCACAGTAAGTGAGTTCATTTTCCATTTTAAGTAGAGGTGGGTGTAATTTAATATAATATAATAATTTTTATGATTGTAACTCACTCTTTACGAGAGGATCATTTATAAAATTCTGTTATCCAAATTAACAACTCAAAGCAAGTTGCAATTAAAGATATTTCAAAAATCTGGCTTGTTTTTTTATACATATTAAAAGTTTGTCTGATGTACTGCATAATAGTAGAACACAGCTCTTTTCCTGAACTTTTAGTTGCTATCTTACCATTTCACATACTCTGATATATATGCATCAATATGAGGATGTTTTTTATTTTATGGATGCTGAATCAGCATCCATGGATGCTGATTCAGCATCCATACCTTGTTTTCTTGGTCTTTATTGTATGGATGCTGCAAAGCATCCATACCTTGTTTTCCTGGTCTTTATTGTATGGATGCTGCAAAGCATCCATACTATGTTATCCTGTTCTTTATTATTTTTCTGATTTCTTCCGTCCGTTTTTCAGCACTTAATTTCTTCAGCATACTTTCAGCTACAAAAGCCATTAAGGTATCAAAATGTTCAACTCTTTAAGGACGTGTGCTTGTATTTTTATTGTTTGTAACATTTATACTTATATATAAACTTTTTTCCAGCAAAATTTTGCCCCATTCAAATGAATGGGAAAAATTTTCACACCTTAATATCTTCAGCATACCTTCAGCTAAAAACACAATTTCAACTAATAACTATTCAGCAGCTCTTCAGCTATTCATACCATAAATAGCTTTTTGATATATTTTACAGTTTTTGCATAATTACCATTTACATTTTATGTCGCATTTCAATATCCACACTCTAGTATTTCTCAGTGTGTAGGACTACTATTTCTTTCTCATACACACACATAGACACAGACACACAAACACCTACACACCCACACACATACAGAACCCTAATTGTTTTACCTGCTTTGTGGGGACCAATCGGTAAATGTTCACATCTTAATAAGTTCAGTATACTTTGAGCTACAAAAGCCATTCAGGTATCAAAATGTTCAGGTTTTTCAGGACATTACATCATGTATTCAACTTTTTTACAACTTTCATACTCTTTAAACTATTCAGCATTTATTCTGAAACTCTTGCCCCATTCAAATGAATGAGAAAATTCTACTTCAGCATAATTTCAGCTATCAAAATGTTCAAGGACATTCATGCTTCTCTTCAGAATTTTTCTAAACTTTATACTTTTAAAATATTTAGCTTTATTCTGAAAATCTTGCCCCATTCAAATAAATGGGGAAATTCCAACTTCGGTATACTTTCAGCTAGCAAAAGCATTCAGGTGTCAAAATGTTCAGCATTTTCAGGGTGATTTTTCAGCACTCAGCATCCATACGAATTTTCTTCAGAAAATGCAATTTTCTAGTTATTAATATGAAAATATTTATTTTGACCATATCTCTCTGCTCTGCCCTAACTGAAACAATACATAAATAGTAGTAGTTGTACCAGAATAACTATTTAAATGTTCACATACCAAACTGTAGTTGACATTGTTTGCTTTGGCCAGAAGAACATCCATAGCATCAGGCATAATGTGGGTGTTCGTCTTCGCATTCTCCCAGGCTTCGATATATGCTCTCTGCAGCCACAGAAACCAACAACATGAGAATCTGCTGACAGTATGAACTCTGCATGGATGCATTTTATAATATTATAATTTTCTTTTCATATCCATTTATTAATAAATGGAGTTATTTGATATTCTTTGAACGTGTTTTCATACCTTATTCATAGCATGAGCATTGGTCTTAGCCAACACCATGGGCATGTCTTCAGTAGTGAGTTTGAACTTGTACTTGCTTGGGTGCTGACGATAGTTCCTCTCACTCAGGACCTCACCAGCTTTCTTCACCTTCTCGACATCCAGTGAACCTATAGGCACCCATCCAATACCCTGCAACAGCTTCAGATCCTCCTTGTAAACATTCTGGACAAAACAAAAAGGTTGTATTTACAATGATGGTTGTCTCAAAACCTCAGAAATATACATTCATAAATGTGAACACTTTCCACTGCATAAAAACAAGGTTTCATCATCACTCTGAAGATCATAGGCTTTCTTGGCCTGAACCACATCATTGGAGTCTGGCAGACAGGTCCACTGGTGCAGATGAGTTCTGTAGTTGAAATCATTGACTTGGACCTGGCATTTCTTGGCATGTTCAATACTCAGCATGTCCACTGGCAGGTTGAACCTGGTCTTGGACTGGTTGAAGTCCTTCTTGTACAAAACATCACTGGCAATCTTGGCTGAATTCAGAGCCAGCATGAGCAGAGGGTCGTCCTTGATACTGCGGGCACCAATGTGGTGACCAACTTGCATACGGTATCCTGCCTTGTACTTGTACTGTAAAGGAGGAACAAAACAACTGATTATGATTGTTTTAAAGCAATATCAGTAACAATATTGTTTTTAAGATTATGCTGCATATTAATTTTAATACACAATCATGTAGTTGATGTAGGTAGATAATCAATAACATTTGTTTTAAATAATAAGAACTATAAATGAAGAATATAAAATTAGCATGAAATAGATACTACATTAAAAACAAAAGTATTAATATATCATGCCTAAAATATGCTGCTAAAAGATTAAAATGATATTAAAACCTTAACGTTTGTCACATATTTAGATCAAATATTATTTGTGATAATTGCAAAGAGTGGAAATGAAGTCGTTTTACATCGCTGGCAATATCCCTGGAAGCCTTCGCTGCAATAATAGGAATTGCATCATTACGCATGTCGTATCCTTTCTTCTTGGACTCTTCATGTGCTTGCTTGTATGTTTTCTGTACAAAGGGGAAAATATATTCAAACAAAAACAAAGCTTTGTCTATTACTTCGAAAGCTTTAACAACAATTTAGCTTTTCTGACAGTGTTTAAGAAAGACTCACCACACTGTAGTTGACTCTGTTTGCTTTGGCCAGTAGAATATCCATGGCATCAGGCATAACATGGACGTTTGTCTTGTCTTTCTCCCAGTCTTTAATGTAGGCTCTCTGTAAAGTAAATTTTGTTAAGCTTCCATGGGTAAACTAACATATTTAGAAGTCACTGGGATGTATTCATAATTAAATCAACATCTTAGACAAATATCCTACTAGTAACATTTGACAGTTCTTGAATGTTATCTATTTAGATTAATCTACACAAGCAGAGAAGCTTTTTAGACAGAAGCGGATGGATTTTTGTCTCAGTTCTAGATGCATTTATTTGGGTTCCGTTTGTATTGAATGTACAAGACCCACAAAGCCCCAAGGTGGCAGTCATAAAAAAAAGGACAATCCTCAGATTCTGTTTTTAAATAAAAGAACAAAACAGGGCTGGTCTTTATCGTTGTTGTTGTTTGCATTGATCAGTGAATCTTACACTTCTTTTTATGCAGATGATGTGATTTTATTTTTTCAGAGCTAAAATAACTAAGGCATTTCCTTTCAACATAAAAGAACAATTTAGGAGATATTCAAAAATATAACATTTGATTTGATAAATTCAACAGATTTGCCAATATTTTGTCTATTGTAGTATGTCTATTTATTTGGGGAATTTTATGTTATAAAAATGAATAATTTCCAAATTGTCTGTTTCAGATACAGTATGTTATCTGCCTCCCAGGGGCAGATTTTAAAACAATCCACAATCAATTACACTATGCTAAGAAAGAGCATTTTTGATAAAACTGCATAATTTTGAACCACAGTTAAATAATGGGGAAGTAACTGCAAAAAATATACCTTGTTCATAACATGAGCGTTGGTCTTAGCGAGTACCATGGGCATGTCTTCAGTAGAGAGTTTGAACTTGTAGTTGCTTGGGTGCTGACGATACTTTCTCTCACTCAGGGCCTCACCAGCTTTCTTCACCTTCTCGACATCCAGTGAACCTATAGGCACCCATCCAATACCCTGGAATAGCTTCAGATCTTCCTTGTAAACAATCTGAGTGAAAAATAAAAAAAGAAGTGGGTGGGTAAAGATCGTTCAGACTCAGATAATAAATAAAACGGAAATAATTAATGATTTCTTGTACGGCCCGGTACCAATTGATCCACGGACCGGTACCGGTCCGCGGCCCGGGGGTTGGGGACCACTGATGTACAAGACCCACAAAGCCCCAAGGTGGCAGTCATAAAAAAAAGGACAATCCTCAGATTCTGTTTTTAAATAAAAGAACAAAACAGGGCTGGTCTTTATCGTTGTTGTTGTTTGCATTGATCAGTGAATCTTACACTTCTTTTTATGCAGATGATGTGATTTTATTTTTTCAGAGCTAAAATAACTAAGGCATTTCCTTTCAACATAAAAGAACAATTTAGGAGATATTCAAAAATATAACATTTGATTTGATAAATTCAACAGATTTGCCAATATTTTGTCTATTGTAGTATGTCTATTTATTTGGGGAATTTTATGTTATAAAAATGAATAATTTCCAAATTGTCTGTTTCAGATACAGTATGTTATCTGCCTCCCAGGGGCAGATTTTAAAACAATCCACAATCAATTACACTATGCTAAGAAAGAGCATTTTTGATAAAACTGCATAATTTTGAACCACAGTTAAATAATGGGGAAGTAACTGCAAAAAATATACCTTGTTCATAACATGAGCGTTGGTCTTAGCGAGTACCATGGGCATGTCTTCAGTAGAGAGTTTGAACTTGTAGTTGCTTGGGTGCTGACGATACTTTCTCTCACTCAGGGCCTCACCAGCTTTCTTCACCTTCTCGACATCCAGTGAACCTATAGGCACCCATCCAATACCCTGGAATAGCTTCAGATCTTCCTTGTAAACAATCTGAGTGAAAAATAAAAAAAGAAGTGGGTGGGTGTTTGATGGTAAATATGAAAACTTTCCACAATTAAATGCAAAGGCTGACACTCACGTCACTCTGTAGGTCATAAGCATGTCTGGCTTGGACCACATCACTGGAGTCTGGTAGACAGGTCCACTGGTGCAGATGAGTTCTGTAGTTGAAATCATTGACTTGGACCTGGCATTTCTTGGCATGTTCAATACTCAGCATGTCCACTGGCAGGTGGAACCTGGTCTTGGACTGGTTGAAGTCCTTCTTGTACAAAACATCACTAGCAATCTTGGCTGAGTTCAGAGCCAGCATGAGCAGAGGATCGTCCTTGATACTGCGAGCACCAATGTGGTGGCCAACCTGCTTACGGTATCCTGTCTTGTACTTGTACTAAAAAAGCAAGTGTGAGAGTTTTGACAACCAAACAGTGGTCAGAGGCAAAACATAAGGAACACGTACAGTAGGCAGTACTTACATCACTAGCAATAGCAGTAGAGGCTTTAGCAGCCTGTACTGGAATGGCATCTTCACGAAGATTATGGCCCTTCTTCTTGGAGAGTTCATTGTCCAATTTGTACAGTTTCTGAAGAGAGAGAAAATATGCATTTTTAAAAAGGAAAGTACATTATATGAACAAAAGTACTGAGACACCTGACCATTACACCAACAGGGACTTTGATAGCATTGCATTCATATACATAGACTTTAATATGGAGTTGGTTCCCCCTTTGCAGCTATAACAGCTTCCACTCTTCTTGGAAGGCTTTCCACAAGATTTTGCAGAGTCTCCGTGGGACTTTGTGCTCATTCATTCTGTATAACATTTATGAGGTAGGGCAGGCACTGATGTTGGATGAGAAGGCCTGGCTCACAATCTCCATTCCACTTCATCCCAAAGGTGTTTGATGGGGCTATGGTCAGGGTTCTGTGCGGGCCACTCAGGTTCTTCCGCACTGAACTCATCCAATCATGTTTTGATGGATCATGTTTTAAGGACGATAGTGAAGTCCAGATCCTCTCTAGAAAACATTGCTGGTTTGAGAGAGGAGTCAAGGAAGCTATTTTTGTCCAAATGGAACACCCCTCTCTAAATAGAGGTGGTGGACTAAGACACAACTTGTCATTCATCTACAACTCTGTTTTGAAATCTCTGCCCAAACATTCCCACTCTAATTCACACCAGAACAATAGGTGTCGGTCCACATGTGAGGGTTCAAAGACAGGGAATGACGCTCACAGATACCGGACTATAACAACTCAATTTTTAGGGGACATTGTTGGCCACTGAAGGACTGGGACCGCAACATATCAGTTGTTAGGGGACATTCTTGGCCATCAAAAGCCTGAAACACCACTGATGGGTATAAATATCTCTGACAACAACAGTTGTGCAGAACTGATGAAGCCTCTTGGATGAGGGGTGAAATGTCATCAACCTAAAACCAAGTCCAGATGATTTTTTTCTTTGTTTTTTTTTCAGCTTACTAAGACCTGGATGACTGAGAATTTGCACAAACATGTATGGCGTCCCCTCCTTGAACCACCACCTTATTTTGGTGGAGGGGTTTGAGTACCCGAGTGATCCTAGGAGCTATGTTGTCGGGGGCTATATGTCCCTGGTAGGGTCTCCCAAGGCAAACAGGTCCTGGGTGACGGGTCAGACTAAGAG